TGCATTTCTTAGTGCACAGTTCAGTTGTCCAGCAGTCTGTGTTCGAAGACGACGTACCGAAGTAACTAAGAAATTATCATTTCTATCTGAAGTCTTCCGTTGTCGTCCACCTCCGTGACGATAATTAGGATCTCCTGTTCGATCGTGACGATGGATTGCCCTGTATATTGAAGCTCTTGATGTATCGAAATACTGTCCAATGTCTTCAACATTCAAACCACCATCTCTCATTCTGAGAACCATTTGTAATTGTTCATTAGTTAGTCGTGGCATATTTTATTACAATAATCAAATGTTTGACAATTTCTGATTATTTCCCAGACAACATATTATACCGAGGGGTTAACCAATGAATTTAAGGTATTCAAAAAATTCGAATAGCCATTATATGTTGTTCAAAATTGCATATCTCAAAACATCCTGTATGGATCTTGATGAATCCGAAACCATTTCGAGGAAACACATTAGACTTCATGTTTTTGCCGTCAGAAAAATTTTAAAAAAATTATCCTGCTAACGGGGCGACCTCAAACTTTTCGGAAGGTATCACACTTTCAGATATCATCCTGTAGGTCATAATTCCGAAATGGTGGAGAAACGTAAAAAAAATATGTTATAGCCAATCAACTGGGCAATCACAATCTCAAAACTAATCAAAGATCGGCTGATCTCATCCAAAGTTATCACGGTTCGAAAACAAACAAAATGTTCGCTTGTCTCACTTCAAATGTGGAGCAGTTTATATAGGAGAGCTCTACTCTCATATTGAGTTACACTTATACTTCTTTTTTCCTCTGAAGCAAGCTAAACCCTTGCTATATGTATATATTAAGATGAAAGCAATAAAAATTATTATATTCCATTCTATTCCTATGGAATGAAAATATGAGTACCTATTATTTCAATAAACGTGATGTAGTGCGGAAAGACCAGATGATTTCCCCCAAAATGTCACTACGTTTGAAAATTGTTCTGTCGGAGATTCTAAAGGAAACATTCATTATTGCTTGTCAGTGACACTTTGTTTTGAAAAAGGTTATATCAATTAGTGCGTTATGTTAGCACAAGAATATTGCTATTTTGGCTTCCAGCATGAAAGTCGGTACACATGTTGATGAATATATAAAAAACAAAAAACCATCGGGACACACGCTGTATCTGGAATATTTAAGCCGCCATTTTTCAAAATGGCGACCGAAAGCTGGATTTTTGCTAATATCTCCAGAACGGTGAGAAATATCGGGAAAGTTGAAATTGATGAAATATAGAGGATAGTAAGGCGGAAATTTTTTGTTCGAAACATTTTTTTGTCAGACGAATCAAAAATTCGATAATCGAAATATTAAAATTAAATTTTTCAAGGATTCTCAAGAAAAAATAAATCATGATCATGTGTTATCTGTATGATGAACTCTTTCTTGAGGATTCAAACCGAAGGTAACATTACTTAAAATGGCGGTCAATTATTTTAATCTAAATAAAATCATATATCAATCATGTTAAAGGCTTGATGTTTAATTATGTTCGATTAGATCAATTAGAATCTTGGTGAACTAACTAATACAACAGTATTACAAATAATGTTCATTGAGTACACTGTCCATCACACGTGCATAGAGCAGTACACTGCCAATCAAATCTATTGCATTTGCAGTTCTTAATACACAATGTTTTGCATCTGCAGCTGATCAATTCTGAACATTCATCAGATGCTTGTGGCAAAACTGTCCAAAGTGGTTCAATCGTTTCATCTTGACATTCCAGATTTGACGACTTCCATCCCCAGTTAGTTGCATTTGGAATATATGGTTGCAATTCCAGGGTGTGAAAAATTGAGTGAGAGATCAAAGTGAGTATACCGGGTAAGGCATTTATATTGAGACAAAATTATATCTCGGTTCGACTCGATTATCTCGAAAGACATTTCAGACAAATAATGTAAGGCCAATGATTTCCAATCCAAACCTGTGCTGAACAATGGGTGTTTCTATTAAAAAATCGACTTATGCCCTAAAGGCCCCACTTCCGGTCTAGTACAATATTTCTCAGATTTTTTTTTTTCGAAATAATCGAATACATCGCAAGCGAGATATAATTTTGCCTCAAGATAAATGCCCCACCCGGTATATTGTAGAGATAAAAAAGATCTTCTATATTTTTAAATAAACACGTGTGAAAGGAGGATTTTTATGAATAGGTAGGGATACTTGATATGGTAACGGGGTAATTGTTGGTATTTTAGATGTTTTTTTGAGAAAACGAGGATTTTCCACTGAATATATTCAATTTATTGACTTTAATATTAGCCTCACAAGAAAATGTTTCAGACAAAAAATGTCCGCCTTGTAATGTTCTTTATTTCATAAGTTCGAACTCTTCCAAAATTTTGCACCGTTCTTGAGATATCAGCAAAAATCTAGTTTTCGGCCGCCATTTTAGAAAATGGCGGACGAAATATTCCAGACACAGCTTGTGTCTCGATGGTTTTTTGTTTCCTATATATTTCTCATCATGTATGCCAAATTTCATGCTGGTAGCCAGAATAGCAATATTCTTATACTTGTTTGAACCAACCCAACGCACGAAAATTTCAAAATGTGCCATTAAATACATAACACCTCTAATTTCGTATAGTGGTATTTCAGATATGCCTGAATCGAATAGGATAGTCGCACTGTGTCGAAAAAAGGCTAATAGTCGTTTCTGAATTTTGTTTCTTTCAAATAATAAAATAAAATAAAATACACACTGTAAATACACGGTGTCCTGAAATTACATAAAAAGATTGCAACTGAAGATGCGAGAAAGAGCAAAAAAAAAGTTTATACAAGCCTGGGTCCAGAAAGGGCCTCTTAGCTAAAGGCGAGCCCAAGATGAAGTTTTTTTGGAATTATCTCCGAAACTCTTCGTCATGAAATGGCCAAATTTCGATGTATCCACATTTTCGAATTGAGCTTGTTGAGTACTATACAGGGTGACCCAGGGTTAAACCGCCAAACGTGAAGGGTCGGTTATTTGGGCAAAAATAAGACTTTTTTTCTAATGAACAAATGTCCTAACTTGCTTCGTTTTCGATATACGAGGTGTCAAAGTTTTCAGAAAAAATCGGTTCTTCATTAATTACGGCTTGAACTTACGGCAGATTTCGATGAAACTTGGTATGCTTATTTGCGGTGAAACGGAGCTCCATTTGATGTAATCCGAATCAAATTATTTCCATCGGCGTCCCAGGAAGTAATCAAAATGATATAAGGATATTTTTATTTTATTAGGAAACTGATAACGTCCAAGAATCACATGAACTGCTCAAAATGACCACCATCTTTCCCGATGCAAAGTTCGCACCTACGGACGACTGATTCTGCAGCTTCACGGCACTCTGCTGGTGTAATCTCTCGGGCTGCATGAATGATCCTTTCCCGCAGAGTACCAATATTGAACATACAAAAAAAAAGTCATACAATGACTTGTCCTAATATCAGTTAGATTACCCTCTATTACGTTCCTAATAAAATAAAATAATAAAACAAAAATATCCTTATATCAATTTGATTACTTTCTGGGACGCCAATGGAAATAATTTAATTCGGATTACATCAAATGGAGCTCCGTTTCACCGTAAATAAGAATACCAAGTTTCATCGAAATCTGCCGTAAGTTCAAGCCGTATAATTAATGAAGAACCGATTTTTTCTGAAAACTTTGACACCTTGTATATCGAAAACAAAGCAAGTTAGGACAAATGTTCATTGGAAAAAAAGTCTCATTTTTGCCCAAATAACCGACCCTTAACGTTTGGCGGTTTAACCCTGGGTCACCCTGTATATTATGAGACTTTTGTTTTTGAAATAGGTTCCCAATTAAAAGGATGTTTATAGTATCAATAATAATGTAATACCTTAATACCTACCTACATATTAGTGATGAATAAACGCCGACATCTACAAGGAAATGAATCCGCGCGTAATTGAAATCGCATACACTTTTATTATCCTACTTATACTTGACCTTATTCGTCATACATATTATGCCACAAAAATGTGGATAACTAAGATATCGAAAATTCATCGAATAAAGTTGAAGAGCCTGTCGAATTAGACACAAAAGTTTATTCAATAAATAGCTCAGAATTATTCGTTATTACATAACAATATTGGTAACATTTAAAAAGGTGCGCTAAAACTATCAATACACATAACATAAGTACATTAAAATTGGAAAACAAAAATAATTATTCACTAATTCAATTTTATTCTCTATATCACATAAATTCCATAATTATAATAATTATTTTATTCAAAATTGAAAATAGTATATTATTCAACAAGCATATAATGTGGGTTATTCTTCACGAAGGTTAATTTTATGTCACGAGCGCAGCAAGTAGCAGTGGATGGAAGCTGATTATATGCGAGTAGAATACTATACTTTATCCAAGACTGTTGTAGGAAATATGTTTATGATACAATCAACATGTGCCCCGGCGTGTTCGCCAATAATTTGAATCTAACAATCTTAATAATAACCCTGATTATATACAGAATACTCAATGATAATAATGAAATTCCAAGCTCGAGAGTCGGTGATCCATCTAATAGCTCCTGTCCCTGTACATCGTTTTATCCACGACTACTATTGTCTTTGATATATAGATTTATTTTTACTAACTGTTTCATCATAACTTATTTGACATTGAGAAAACTAGAAATTAGTAGTTCTGCTGTTATATCGCGTACCCTAGAAACTATCTAGACCAATGAATAATGGTAATTCACCGTTATTATTCACTGGTGTAAAAAATAACTATCGTTTTGCTTGAGGAAGTAGATGATGTATTATGGATATTTCATACAACAGTCGTGAATGAAAAGAGATATACAGTCGACTAACAAAAATCTAGATCATAAAATATGTTCATGCACAAATTGTACTTTCAATAAATTCTTTATCAATGTATGATGATTCACACTATGATAAATTATATTTGAATAATAATCTTATTAGTGGTTGTTCCTTTTCAGCCATTCAACTACGGAATCCAGATGTTTGGTCTTCCAACTGATTCGGAGTTTCATCCTATCCACAGTACCTTGTAAAACTGGTGCAATTTCATTCAGATCTTCCTTGTGGAGTTTATAAAACGTAGTCAACTGGAATAATAATTATTCATGTATCAAGGGCGTAAAGTATGTTTTTATGGACCGCAGCGTGTAAGTAATTAACACGCCTATTATAGGTCCATGAAAGCAAAAGTTACGCCCGAAATTCAGGGTCGGGCAACAGGATTGAATGATTTTGAGAAGGTGGCTGTGGAAATACTTTTCATTTGAAAAACGTGAAATAGTGATGAAATTGTAGTTCATTATTGAAGGTTTTGTGCTACAATGGCGAATTGGCCGGTTAGTCAACGGATCTTTGGCACTATGTTAACCCAGTTTTGGGGGGGTTGGAGCGGGGTCCACATCGAATTCTCTGAATCACCCTGTATTTGGTGTCAATTGATGTCATCACAGATAACTCATTTTGGGTTCGATCATATCATTTTCCATCTCAGAAATATAAAGAGATTTGTGGTATTAGATAAGGAACCATCACAACTGAAACATAAACTTCCTGAATTGTAAACGCCAATGACGAATTACCTATACGTCGGGCGGGGAACTAGTCCACGGGCAATGAAGTGGCACTTCACGCCCGCAAAATCAGGCGGTATGAAGTGCCACTTCACGTCCGCAAAACCGGGCGGTAAAGTGCTTCTTTACGACCAGTCCTACAATAACTGTGATTTTGTGTTTTCATTAAGGGCTAACATTTTCAGTCTCACCAGTTGGCTTTAATAAAAGGTGAGGTCTATGTCGAAGTCAGAAATCCTGAAATTCTATCGGAGTGTGGAACTTTACGACCTATGCTCACATTGACCGAGAAGTTATCGTAGGAAGATGCCAAATGACAAGAAAAGAAGTAGTATATTTATCAGTTGTACCAACTCTGACCTCTCGTTTGAGTATAGCGCGATCTGGTGGACAATAAATAATGTTAGACCTCATTCAATCCAATCCAATTCAGTATGCTCTATCGTCGGAAGGAAATAACATTCCTATCGACAAAGGCCAATCTTAAGTCTAAATATAATCTGGAAATAATTATAATGAAAACACAGTAAGTGAATTTACTTAGTTAATTAGTTTTCGCAATCCCATACTTCTATTATTATTATTATTATCATTATTATTCTGATTTAACGTCATTCAGATGACAAATAAAAAATTAATGTCAATAGCCTAGCTCCGTTCGTTAAGATTGTTTAACGGCCGGCAGCCGTTAGCTATTCCATAACAACATGTTGGGATTTTTCTGTGGAATTACGAGATACGTGGTACGTTCTTTCCTCGAAATCAAAATGTAATCTCTCAGCGGGATTAAGAAATGTCTTGAACGACACACGGCCGATAAGCAACCCAGACAGCACCAGATATTCCATGAATATTCATAGAATATTCTTTTTGGATATTGCGAATATTCATGAACATGCCAGGGATATACATATCATCTATGGAATATTCCCTGAATGTGCTGGTGGGGAAAATTTCATATATTCCCGGAATATTACACAAGGAATATACCCTATATATTCAGAATGTACCTAAAATATTCTAGGAATATTCAGATAATATTCGGAATATACTAGGAATGATACAAGAATATGAATAAATGAATATTCCGGGAATATTCCTTGATACATATTCATAATTAAAAAAGGTGACTCAAGATGGGCTCGAACTCGAGACTTTCAGACTGTCAGATCAACGCCCTAACTACTAGGCCAGTAATCGAGTTGAATGATACTGTACATAACAATTCATTGAATTGCGTTGTTCAGAAGCGGATCACTACTTATCAAAATTGTGGGGACGACTTTGTGTTTTTGATCCCTGGTAATATAACCACATTACTTTGAAATGCGATGGATTTCTACCACAGATTCCAAAATCAATGACTCACATCTATAAAATAGTTATTGGTTAATTTCCATATTTTACAATTTCATTGAAACACATGGGAATATTATTGGAATATTCCATGAATATACAGAAACATAATATCAAGATGGGAATATTCCTGGAATATTCATTTCTGAATATTCCCTGCACTATCCAACTGGAATAATCTACGAATATCCACTTCAGAATATTCCTCCTGGAATATTCCCCGTATATTCATTTTGGAATAATACTAGAATATTCACATTTGAATATTCTTTGAATGTTCCAGAGGCACGTATCTATTCTAAGAATATTCGAAGGATATTCGAAATATATTCTTCTCTTTTAGCATATCTAGAAAATTTTCTAGGAATATCCAGTGCTGTCTGGGAAATAACGGATTCGGTTGGCATACATTATTCAACCTCATTCGTTATTTGCTACATATCGGCCTTGTAACGTTAATAACTATAGAACGAATTGAAATTCGAATATAGGTAAAAAATAAAGAATAAAGAATAAAAAGTACAAGTTACAGGCAGAAACACAAACCCAATATAAATGTGGTGGATGAGACATGAATGGCATAGGTACTCACATAATTGAAAAAACAAAAAAACAAGAAAAATAAGGATAACGAAAATATTGGAAATATTGCTACTTAGAATGTTTATGATCTTTCAGAAAGCATAGAAGAAAATCCCTGTTAGGTACGAGAATGAGAGTCATCGTTATTGAACTCATGAAGATTATATAAGTTTTTGGGAATACTGTAGCAAAGAATTCCAAAGCTTTGGCGTCGTTCTAAAGATCAACGAGTCTTGATCAAGAGTTGTTCGAGTTTTGTGATGCAGCTATCGCTATCTACTCTGTTGGTGATATCAAGCATAGATATACTCTTAATTTCATGGGTATATTAAACTTGGTTACAGGCTTCAGTTTTGGTGGCGTTGGATTCAACCAGGTTGTTGGCTTCCCAACAAACGTCACAGCTAGATATTCCTCATGATTCTCTTCTCACGCGGGGTTAGGGTTTTGCGCCAACGATGGTAGCATAGTTGATCCTTCATACTGGGCAGGATCCTCAGAATCAAAGCATATTCTGTGCCAAGGAAACTCTGAGAAAAACATGTGGAGACGGTCCCAGTCTCCTGAGGTTCAATGCCATACAAGACATATGGGGTTACTGGAGAAGTTGATGGAATCGAAAATGGGCAGGTCGTGAAGACGAGTATGTTGTCAGAATTGCTTGGTGTGGACAATAGTCCCCCATTCATTTACCCAAGTACCAACTTACTAAATTTGGATGGGAATGATAGCTAGTAGAAGTTGACAATGAATGGTTGAAATTATAAACCTTCACAAATGTCGATTATAGTTTTTTATCCTATATAACCGTAACTTGTTTCATTCTTCTCCGATTTTATATGTAGCTATATCGATTCCAGAATGAGTTAAAAATCGAATTCAGATGATATTATTGATTCTTCTTGGAATGTTTCTCAAATTGACATTGAAATATTGAAGGATTTTTTTTGCCAATATCGCAACTTCATGGGTGCTAAAATGATTCGATATAACATCTCATTGATTTGTCAAAGATCATTTACTTTGTGTTTTCTGGACCAGAATATGTATGTATCGAATAGAACATTTCAAGAAGAGTCCTACTCATTATGTGCAGAATCATCATTCGATTTTCTTTTGAGACCCAACAACAAATCAATATTTATTGAAAAAGAAAATCATCAGATATATACTTACATCTTCCAGATCAACTTCAGTGGAAAGTTGACTGACAAAATCATGGAAAATTGTGCTGAATACTAGATACACTTCCTCGTAGGCTTTGAAAATTCGGTCCCAGTTGAGTCTCAGAAACTGGAAACCAGTCCTAACACCAACCGAATGACTGATGGACTGCCACACGTAAGGGACGTACTCTAGACTTATGTTGCCAACCAAGGAGTATTCTAGGTACCTGAAAAATGTGTATACAGTGTGTCCCACTTACCATATGCTCACCATGGGTATCTTTTTAACGGTGAGAGATACGAAGTCGGTTAAATGACACCAAATGTGAAGTTTGTCAAGGCCAACTATAATGTGAAAAAATATTTTGATAAAATCTATTCGTTTTTGTTTTATATACGCAAAAAACAGATTTCGATCATTTCCATGTCTCCCCGTAACTTCTTTATTTATGAAAATATTCAAATAGGAATTTCACATCCTCATGGCAGTATTTCAAAGTGATTTCGAAAAAAAAAAGAAATTTATACCAACTCTTCTAGAATTTGAGATATCAGCACCAACTTCAGTTTTTCGAATGTAGGTCATAGCTCACTATGACTTAGTTACAAATAATTTTTTTTCTCTTACAGATGATATGGCGCAGTAATAGTTTTGTGTTGATAACAACGGAGTTATCGTCATTTATACAGAAACAAAAAATTATTTGGAAGCCGCCCTCTTGAATTTATGAATTTTAACAAAAAAATCATGATCTCCGACCCCAAAAACCCTCACTTACCAATTTTGAATGGAATCGGACCAAATCTTGTCCGCCATCTTGGAGCAGCCATTTTTTTTAAATTTAACAAAAATTCCATAATGTATTGTCACCGAAATTATGAACACCAGCCAAATTTCAAGTTAATCGGAGTTATGGGATTTTTGTTGAAATTAAAAAAAATGGCTGCTTCAAGATGGCGGAGAAGATTTGGTCCGATTCCATTCAAAATTGGTGTGTGGGGGTTTTTGAGGTCGGAGATCATGATTTTTTTGTTGAAATTCATAAATTCAAGATGGCGGCTTTCAAATGCTTTTTTTGTTTTTGTATTAATGAGATAACTCCTTGTCATCAACACAAAACTATTACTGCGACATATCATCTGTAAGAGAAAAAAGAGTCATTTATAACTAAGTCATAGTGAGCTATGATCTACATTTGAAAAACTAAAGTTGGTGCTGATATCTCAAATTCTAGAAGAGTTGGTATAAATTTCATATTTTTTTCTAAATCACTTTGAAAAACTGCCATGAGGATGTGAAATTTCTATTTGAATATTTTCATAAATAAAGAAGTTACGGAGGAGACATGACAATGATCAAAATCTGTTTTTTGCGTATAAAACAAAAGCGAATAGATTTTATCAAAATATTTTTTCACATCATAGTTGGCCTTGACAAACTCCACATTTGGTGTCATTTAACCGACTTCGTATCTCTCACCGTTAAAAAGATACCCATGGTGAGCATGGTAAGTGGGACACACTGTATATCTAAACTAAGAATCAGTCACAATGCTCAAAGTGGAATAAAATGTTAAATAAATACAAAAAGCTCGAAGTCATTTCCACACAATGTTCTTAAAATAAACAACAATGGTGGATTTCGGGAGGAAAACAACTATTTTCCTGACCCATGTCACGTAAAATATTGAATTACATTCTCCCAAAATTTATGCATCGACTCGTATAAACTAATACTGATACAAGTGATTCTTTCCATAATGTATAATGCCGACTTGAGTGTTGTTTGGCTATCTACGCTACGCTTAGTCGGCGGTCTTGAGACTGCTGGCTGGAGACTGCCCTGCACTGATGAGAGTCAAAGAGCTCGAAACCGGTCTGTAGGTGTTTAATGTGGCCTGGCTAAATCGAAATCAATAGGCATTCAGGAAAGAATCACTTGTATCAGTATTCGTTTATACGAGTCGATGCATAGATTTCAGGAGGATGTAATTCAATGTTCTGCGTGGCATTAGCCAGGAAAGAAGTTTTTTTCCTCCCGAAATCTACCATAGTTGTTCATTTTATGAACATTGTGCGGAAATGACTTTGAGCTTTCTGTATGTATCGATTCATTTCAGTCACTTCACATTTTGAAAAAAAAAAATTACGAATGAAACTCCTATATGGGTTACCTATAGGTCTCTCTAGAACTTGCATTGAGGAAAAAACATGACATATTATTATTTTTGTATGTATTTCAGTACAGTAACAAATTGTATACATTCAAGAATCAACAACTAGTTTCATGACTTTCCTTGCAGTTCGAATAATTTTTCAAGTGAGCTGTGGAAAACAACATTCCTGAATCTTGTCATAAAGATTGCACTTGTTTTGAGCTGTTGAACTTGAATATGTGAAAATATACAGGGTGTTCCATTCGAAAAAACAAAAATGCTGGCATACTCAGAAAAACCGGAAGTCCGTCATATTGGATTGTATTGTTAACAAATCAGAAGTGGTTGCTTAAATAACTGTAAGTACCAAATTTCATGAAAATCCGTTCACGAGTGCAGAAGTTACATGAGAGATGGCCGTTTACGAATGCAGAAGTTACAGAGGTGGCCCTATACCCTGTGTCACCCGGTAGATATAGAACATGGTATTCACTCCTGAAATCTGAGCATGAAAATGTTGAATTCAAGATCAATCAAAAAAACATCCTGTAAAACTCTCTTAATCTTCTTCTGTTATCGAGAAGTTTCAGAACACAAAAACTAAGACTTTACACTGAGGAAAATTTTGCTATCAGAGTTTTTGCTGAGATATATCTTGCTACCATTAGAAGAAATTCCATTACCGTTACTTATTGTCGGATAGAAGCAGCACATTGAAATCCTATATGATAGCAATAACGACTTTGCTGAATGTGAGTTTTCTGCCACAGGTCGGTATACTGCTGTCGCTATCAGGAAGCCACTCTGGGACAGCATGATTTTTAATAATATTAATAATAATAATATTGACAGGGAAATGTAACAGGGATACAACTGAATAACATACTCTAATATGCTGGATAATACACTCCCATCTGTCAATTGGCAGGGTTCAAAAAGTGTCCGAAGGCAAATTTTGTTCTTCCACCCAACCAAAGTATTTAACTAAATATGTACATCGAAATAAGAATAATAATTCGATTAGATCAATAAAGAACAGTAGTAAAGATTGGCCGGTTCTGGCTCTCCGCCCTAGGTCACCGTCCTCCGACCTTGGGCGGAGTGACCTTGGGCGGGAGTGACCTTGGGCGGGAGTGACCTTGAACGGGTCTGACCTTGGGCGGGAGTAACCTCGTATAGTGAAGTGTCGACAGCACGCCCTTGAACGCGGAGGTGACCTTGAGGGCGAGACAAAGTGACCTTGAAGGAAGGTTGTACGAGTAACCTTCGCATATGTGACCTTGGGAACGAGTGACCTTGAGTTGTAGAGAGAGAGAGAGAGAGAGAGAGAGACCTCGACCTTGGAGAGGGAGGTGAAAGCGTGTGCGACCTTGAAAATGGGAGTAGGCTGGTCGAGGTCGTTTTGGTAGAAGTGGGGTGCTGTGTTACGTCATGACTCCCTCCTATATAAACCCAATAGTTGTGTCCATGAGAGCACAGTTCTCTCTCAATACTATCATCAAACATCAAGTTGAATAGTTCTTTGTGAGTGATAAATCATCTAAACAAAATGTTAGTTTGCAGTGTGTGCGCTAAACCTTTCACACGTAGTGACAATCTACGACGTCATCAAAGGGTTGCATGTGTGGGAAATTTCAACCCATCTATTGCAAAGAAGCCTCGACTGGAAGATGGCACTCAGCAAGCAGCAACTTCTGCAAATGTGCAGACATGTACTGTTTGCAATAAGACCATTCCAACCGATAAAATGGGTGCGCATAAAAGGACATTGGAGCATCGGACAAACGCTTGCGTCAATTATAGGGACGGAGTATATGTGATTGAAAATGCGTTCAAATGCCGCATTGTGAGCTATCGATTGGAATGCAGAACTGATGTATTGGATTACAATACGTTTTTTAATGAGAATAAGGCAACCATTATATCTTTATTGGATAATATAATCTCGATTCACCACTCCATCAAGGTGAATATGGAAGTGTTTGGAAGATACATTTTACAATCCCAAGATCTTCATGACATCAAATCCTTCATGACGCCAAATCACATCATGGATTCATCGCTGGATTTGGAGGCCGTGGTTGACACATTCAAGGACATCTTATTGAATCAAACGACCGAATTCGAGGAGCGTGATTCTGGTGAGTTGGTATGATTTTTGAAATATTTCTGATTATTAACAGATGTTACTATTGTTATAGGTTGGGCTTTAGAAAAAATAATGTTCCTGGAAATCAATATCAACAAGTACAGCCCTCTGCGTGGATGCTCTTACATGAAGCTACCTAGCTTCATAGAGAATAAAAAGGCCGTTGTAAACATAGTGAATCAGGACGAGTGCTGTTTCGCTTGGGCTGTGACGTCTGCACTGTATCCGGCAAGAGCTAATGTTTGCGAAACCTCTTCATATCCGCACTATTCTACAGTTCTGAATTTGGTGGGTATAGAGTTCCCTGTTAAAGTGAGTAGCATTCCAAAATTCGAAATTCTCAATGATTGTTCCATCAACGTTTACGGGTTAGAGAGTGTATTTGAAGATCATCAAGTGAAATATCATGTAGTCGGCCCACTGTATTACTCCAAGAAAAGAATGAGTAAACATGTGAATTTACTTTTGACCACAGATGATGAAACTGGAAATAGCCACTATTGCTGGATAAAGAATTTATCAAGGCTGGTATCTAGCCAGATATCTGCCAAAGCGCATAAGAAATTTTTTTGCGACGGTTGTTTGATATATTTCTCAGATGAAACAAAGTTGTTACGCCATCAGCTGAATGATTGTAATCATACATATACTACAACTCCGTCCACAGAGATCAAAGTCGATAAATTTGGAAATTCAGTACCTGAAAACATTTTGAAATTCGAGAAATTTGAGAAACAGATGAAAGTACCATTCGTTATATATGCAGATTTCGAATCAGTTCTGAAACCGATACATACTAGTCAGCCAGATCCGAATAAACCCTTTACTAATAGAACATTCGCACATGAACCTTATTCATTTGCATACCTTATCAAATGCTCTTTCGATAATTCTATCACGAAATATGTTACATTCCGTGGAA